CGCCCCCTCAACCCCCTACGAGGGGCGCTGCCCCTGCACCCCGCTTTTTTTATGCCTTCAAATCTACATGCTTACTAGCACAAAAAAAAAGAGATGTGAGGGGGGAAGTTTTGGCTAGTTTTTGGCTTTATCTTCAGACTGTTTTGGCGTTACCTACAATGCACCACGTGGAGGTAAAGTCTGTTTGAACAAGCCCTCCAAATGAGGTAAATATAGAAAAATGAGCAAGCTTTGGATGCAATTGAGGATGAGAGGATGTGTTAGACATTTTAACACTTTTAATTCACTTGAAAATCACAAAAAAAATCTAATTTGCTTCGCTGCCTGATTAACACGCTTTGAAAAACAAAGGAGAATGAAGAAAAACAATGGCGGCAAGATTTCATTCGAATTTATATAATTCGTGAAAAATCCGCTAGATGGTGTAAAGATTAAAAAAAAGGCTAGAAATTTTCATATAATATGATATTATAGATTGAGATTTATCCAGTAATATATAAAATATAAACCATATTTTTCAAACAAAAGGGATCCATTTTGCCCCTTTTTCCCTCTATATCTCGAAATACAGTGTAGAGGGAACTTTTTCACTATTTTTCTCGAACTCGCGAGACAAAATAGTCCAGAAAACAACCGTTAAATCGCGGCGCCAAAGTAATCGGAATTGTGCCGAAAATTTTGACGATTTGAGAGCTACGGCACAGTAAATATTCTATATCGTTTCAAAGCTCAGTTTCTGAGCTTTCCGATGATACCGTTTTGGTAAATGTGTATTAATTCACCCCCCCCCCCCTCAAAACATTATATTGAATTCCATCCTATCCAATAGTTTTTCACCTCCTGATTACGAATCTGACAACCGTATGTTGGAGAGATAAATAGTTTCCTCCATACGTTGCAATTTGTATACTGCTCTTTGTATTACCCAATTATAGCGGTTATCGGCGTCACAACAACACATGTTGATACATTTAAAGACCAGGACAACAAAAAGAGCCATATTTTTGTTCACTCACTCAACAACAAAACCATTCGCCGTGGGGGGCCATGCATGAACACTGCGCTGTCCTTCATACAGAAAATTTTATAATTAAGTTTATAACTATGAATTATAATTAAACAGTTCATACCTATATCGAGTGCTCACGTAGTAATCTCATGCCTCCCTCCATGGAAGGGCCCCTCCTGAGTGTGAAACATGCTTATTTATCCGCGATTCCAGACGTACTGAGTCATCGGAGACTTGAATTATCGTTCGATATAATCCCTGACCCGTTGTTACCTAATCCTTTATGTAAACATGAGAGTTAATCCACTTTCGGTATTTAATTTCTTGGGGGGATGTTCTACCCATTTACCGCCCTACTTTTTTTTTTAATTATCGTTAATACGCATATAATTATGTATAAAAAATTACTGGGATAAGCATATCACGAGGTAACTTAAAGGAAGTTCTTTTTCTAAACTTGTAAAAGCTCAAAAATTAATTCTTGAAATCGGTTAAATTTTTCATCATTTCGCAAGAAGAGAAATAAACCGATTTGATTGATGTTTGATTTGAGGTTCCTATAATTCACCACTAATGGATATCGACGAAACTATTTAAATTTTTGAGAAAAAAACCAGAAAAGGGTGTTTTCGATTCAAGAAAACTCATTTTCACGGTGAACCATACCGTATGGTGAAAGGTAACTCTGTTTTAAGAATGTTTCGCCCCCATATGTAGCCAAAAAACACTTTTTAAAGATTTTTCGGCCAATTATCGATGGGATTGACGTGAAGAAATATACCAGTTTTTGCATTTTGTCATTATTTAATGGCATGCTAAATTGTGCGGTGCTGCGATTATTTTCATGCATTTTCTGTATAGTTGTGTGATTTTTTTTAATAAGTTAGAAAAAACAAAGGAAAATATTCACGCCACCTTGAAACTTCCCGAGTCATTAAATAACGAAAAAACGCAAAAACGTTATATTTAAATACCTGTAACCATTAAGTTGTTCTAAAATACACTAGGCAATCATGCGTGCTCTCGCGCGCTACCTCTAAGTGTAGCGCACAATAATATCTTGGTAATCATGGAAATGATCAATCGATCCATCGGCTAATCGGAAGAGGAATAGAAGAGTGACAATGAAAAGAATCGTTCATTGTCAATCTCTTCGATGATCAAGGAATGAAAACAATCATTGATTGTCAATCTCTGTTATGATCAAGGATACTAGAGAAATGATGTTATTTATCCTTCTGCAATGAAATATTATTCATTTTTATCTTTTATCTTTATAATCATATTTATGTACGAATTTGAATCAAATGTCACAGATCATTTTCTTTGGAAAAAGATCAAATCAATGTACCAGTAGCTGCACAAACTTCATATCAATAAAAATTCGTTAATTCTCAAATGGAATGGGGTGATGAAGAATCAACTCGATTTCTTCTCCAGATGACTGATTACAAAAAATTTGATGCAAAAACCAGAAAGATGAGAATGTTTCAAAAACTTTGGTTGAACGCGTAGATAATAAGATATGTTTTGATATATTGAAATAGATATAGATAGATAGAAACTCATAGTTGAGCTGGTGTCGATTAGCCAATAATAAAAAAAATGCGTTTCAGCTTCCGAACAAGCAGTTAAACTTGCGCCTATTCGGCAGGAGACATTTAACAATTGTTTTATGGGTTAGTTTTTTTTTATTTTTAATTCCTATCAATACAAACGGTCGTAAACTGCCAAATGGATCTACAGCTATTACGATAACGATTGTTTCCAAAAAAAGAAAAATGGCAATATCTCCTAAACCAAACATTGTGGTGATAAGAGTAATCTTCCTTCCGAATAACAGGTTGATAGGTTGATTTTTAAGTGTTAACTAGGGCAAATAGACTGATAATGAAAACTGTTGCCGTGATTTTTTTTAATAGAGGATCTGTTCAATTTTTTTTTCTAGCTACTTCGCTATTTATATCAACTGTCAATAGTGCTGTGGAAGACATTTCGTATCAAGATCAGCTTAGCACTGAGGCTGTCGTCCTTACTCGTTTGGTTTATAGAATGAAAAGTAAATTCAGGGCGGACAAAGGACTTAAAAATATAGAGAAGGTCAACAGAGCTCTTCTTAATTATTTAAAATTGTCAGTCAAAGAAGATTATGAATATCTGAAAGCAAATATTGAATCTAACGAGGAGAGCATAACATTACCCAGTCGACAGATGTTGGACTATGTTCTAATAAAAACCGAGAGTTTTGCGAAACTTATGCACCGGATTGAGAGTGTTGCCAGACTGGCTGCTCATTTTCTGACCAATAGAATTCACCTTGGTCAAGCTTGGACTGTCTCGGTTATCGCATTATCTGTCATATCCCGGATTTGGTTTGTTTTTTTCCATTTCATTAAAAAAATATATCGACTGTTCTGTATTAACGTGATGGAATAGATATGTATAGAATAATCTAGCAATCGAGTTATTTAGAGATGAACATGTTCGTGACCAGACAATTGTTTCATTCATTCAAAAATGTAATATATCATCGCTTTTGTAATAATTGCTCAATAATTCACATTATTATCGTAAAAATATCATGTGCGTCAACGAAAAATATAAATGATACAAAACAGGCATCTTTTGGGTGAATATAAAATTCTAATTATTTTCTTGCACATCGGGTCACTTCAATACAGAATGAATTAATCTGTAATATTAAGAAAACATTGAAGAAAATTATTAAATTTTTTTATTGTAAGAATATTCCGTTTTCCGGAACCAAATGTTTTTAATTTTTTGAAATTAGTTTGCATGATTTATTAATAAATGGAAATTCATCTATCTTAATTTCTCCTGTTTTAGGATGCTCTCTAGTTATTTATTGAGAAGATCTTGCGAGTGGTATAACAATTTATATACTTTGCGAGAAAAAGTGAGACCAATGGGAGTTGAATGGATGCCACGAGAACAGACTTTACCATCAGATCTCAAGAGTTGGATTGGAGTTTCGAGAATTGATAAGCAATCTCAATGGTACATATTTTCTTTGTAATTAGTTATGCATAATGCTTCCCCTCCACATGATATTGCTGAAGTTTTCTCAAGACAATCGAAGAAGCAAGTGATTAAGTTTTATTTTTATTGTCACAACTTACTGCTCGAATATAATTTTCATTTAGATATCTAATTTTTCGACACCAGCGGCCATCAAATGTTAAACAATAGTATTTCTGCCAAAAATTATATTAGCCAGGAAATGAATTGGATGGAATGATAAGTCTAAATAGACCCGAAAATGGTATTAGCATTTCATTGAGACTGTTATAGTATTGAGTCCCTGTAGATGTCGAGAAGTTAGCATTTTAGTAGATCGACACCTTTGATGGGTAACTCCGGTTATCAGTGGATAGCTATACTAGTTAGGTAGGTTCCACTAATCAAGGCCACTATGCGTGGCTGATCAATTAAGACACGAGTTGGTTCAACTAAAATTTTAACAGTTTTATTCGGAGTTAAACGTTACTTGATTACACTTGGTTTTATAATGTTTGTTAGACTAATTTATACAAAGCGCGATTAACTATTTTAGATGGTAACGAACACTTTGAATTAAAGAAATCCTTTTAATTTGGCCTTAGTGAAATATGTTCACTTGGATTTAGAAATGAAGACAGCTTAGCCTTCGCAGTTGAGTCAGAGTTTTTTAGACTTGATGGTTTCGGAATCGAATTAGAAGTAGAAGTGATGTTGGAGACTTTTGGAAGCCAGTTTATAGGGTTCAATCTACGTAGATGGAAAATGCTTCGGGAGACTCACGGGGGCATGTGCACCCTGAGTTAGGGGATATGATTGGCTGATAGGAGGTGGTAGGGAGTCGAGACGGTTAACTTTGGGTCAGCCGTCGAGTTGGAGGGTTATGATTGGAGTTTTGATGATTAAAATGCAGCTGCGTTTTTGACTTTGGGGAAAATTCTGATCCAACGGATTGTTAAGATTCGGGGGGGTTTCTTTTGAATTTATGGTACTTTAGGATTTCCGGGGTTCTTCGTCTTCGGATAACATTTTAGAGATTTGAAAGTTACCTAATTTTTTAATGATTTCCGGTGATTTGGATGTAAAAGGGAAATTCTGTTTTTCGTTTCTGGAATATTTATTATGCACGTGTACATTAAATTCATTTAAAATCTGGCCTTGAGTGTGGGAAAAGCAGTTTTATGCTTTTTCCACGAAAAAATATCTTGAAGTTTCGAATTTCTAGAATAACGGTTTTGGATAATTTAGTAATTGACGAAATTAAAAATACGATAGTTGCTAATTTTGGGACTTATGCACTAAGTGTCGGTAAGGCTCCATAGTCGATAAAATGAGGTAGAAAAAATTGCTAGCGCCATCGTAGGGCATATGGCAGGGACGTAACAAGTCTATTGAACAATTTCACTACTCTTCCTCAGTTTTAATTTTTAACCAACTATCATTGACCGGAAAATGAATAGCAACTCCACTTTTTTGTTTTTTATATACACTGCACGACCCCGGATAGCTGAAATCGAAGATTATTAGATCGGATATTTTATTGCTCACAGCAGATTCAAGCCTTTTCACGAATCTCTATTTTTGGGATGTTTGTATATTATATGTGCTTGAGTAATTCGTTTTTCAATGGATATGCAGTCGATATTAGTTTCCTTAATGATAGTTGGACTAATCAAAATGTTCTTGTCGCAAGATAATTTTATTAAGAAATATCCTTCTATAGGTTACTGGATGAATTTAGAAGAACTAATTGCGGAAAATTATCAAGAATCGACGTTTTTTTTTAATAGAAAATTTCATGAAATTTCTAAAAATGGACACTAGCATGAGATTTATCAAAATAGTTATCGCAATTATCTACTCCTAGTGTATCAAAAAAACTATAGTATATACGATAGAAGGACAATTTTTCACTTAATTAAAGTATGTTTTCAATTTTTCGCTAAATCTTTGTTTAAGACACGCCTGTTTCAGAATTTCGGATTAAAAAACAAACAAAAACGGTTTATATGAGACAATTCGATTTATCAAATTAGAACATCAATTTCGAATTTCGACAACTGTGACCTTGGCCGGGGAATTAAAATATATGAATTCCGGACGAAGGCCCGATATTCGGGAATTAAATATAATATATGATTTTATTGGGAAAATGCCTCTAAATTTACGGGGGGACCTGAAATATTAAGGGGGAGGGGAGCTTGTGAATGATTGCTCGTGGGGATAATTTAACACTCTATATTCTGATACTTTTTTACACTAAATTCATACACCACAATTTAGGCCTTTTCTTATAATTAATCAAGGGTGGGGGGTAAGGCCAGCCAGCTTGCGACACACAGGTGATTAATAATAATAAGAAAAAAGAATGCGATATCACGAAAAAAGAAAGAAAAAAAGGGGGGAAGTTAAATAAGCAAAAAAGGGGGGAGAAGTGAGGGGTCCGACTGAAATGATAATAATAATTAGGGGGCTTGATTTATAGCGAAAAGGTTTAACTGAAGGCTCACCGTTGGGGGGAATGATATTACAGGGGGTTCGTTGACATGTGTTGGGGCAGGAAAGGTAATACAGGGTACTCACGGGTATTGCGGTTATTATAATCCTTCCTGAGAGATTCTCAGCACACAAAACAAATAATCCACACAATGACCTTGCTTCCGTTCGTCACTCCTGGGTATGTCTTGAATCTTCGACGGGCACGTCTTCCACCAATTCCTCCACTATTCTCTACACGCAATCCTCTGGCAATTAATCTCACAACCTCCTCGAACAATCCTCCTCTAAACTCTCCTCAAAATTCTCCTCAAAATTCTCCTCAAAATTCTCCACACCAACTCTTTCCCAAATACGCTCAAAAGAACTCCTCAAAATATCTGTTACGCACGGGGCAGCTGTATTACGAGTGATGGCTTCCCCATCCTCGTTATTCTTCTTCCCCGATTATCGGTGATAATCGGGGTCAATCGGGGACACTCGTCATCGGGTGTCCTCGTCCTAATTATTTGTTGTGCCAGATTAATAAGTGTTCCTATTCTCTCTTCCGGGCCACGTGGGCTGTGACGTAGGAGTGGTGGTTTTCTTTCCATCCGTAGGCGCGTATGGCGACGAGGGGAACGGCGGGTGAGAGCGGCGTTTTCTCCTTCTCTCGTCGATGGTGTTGCTAGCGGCGTGAGTGTAGCGGCGGGGGAGGGCGCGGGGCAAGGGGAAGGACTATTGTTGGGAGTGGGAGCCAACGGTGACAGGTTTCCTTACCTGTTGCCGTGTTCTTCTTAATATTTCTTAATCCTAGTTAATCCTAATAAAAAGTGTATAAATTAGGGGGCTGGTGAGGGGCCACAACAAGTGCCTCGTCACACAACATATAAGCAGTACATTGTGGCGGTGAAAATTTTGTGAGAGACAAAGACAGAATGATGTTCGTCCTGCATTCTGACGTTCGGAATATTCGAAACTTTATGAAATCAATTTGAGACATTAATCTATTCTGGTTTCTGCCACTAAAAACAATAATACTGCTTCTCCAACAAATCATAGTTAATCTGATTCACTTGACACCTTCCCCTTCCCGTGCTCCTTATCTATTCAATGAGGCTTAGGGGCACAATTGTGACAGTGGTTTGAAGCTTATGAAAAACATATTCTCTTTTTAAAAATGATAGTATTTTCAAAAGCACAAATTCATTTCCAATTTCAGTTTGCAAAGGAAAGCGACTCTTCGGAATCGGAATTAACGTCAGTCAAGTGAATAAAGAATGGCTCGACATGCATGCCGTCGTCTTTTGCTTCTCACCATACTCATCCTTCAGATTTTGAGCATTCTCAATACGATTGTTCCACAATTCACTTGACACGGAAATTCTAGCATTTTCGCACAATTGACATACATCATTGGCTTCGAGAGTATTATTTTAGAGCGCGACTTAGCTCTTCACATTAGCCCATATTTATGCTATAGTAATTGCATGCCCTTTTCATGGGATGTTTCATCCAAAAAGATAGGACTTTTCGCAAAAACTACGGTTTCGGTGAGTGAAAGCGTTTGACTTTAGTTATATTATAAATAAATTGGATGGTGCCTGATGATATGACCCTAGTGGGTCTGTTACCAACCTGTCCCAGTACCTACACGGTTTACCTAACTCGCTTATAACTAACTTCACTATCAGTCGGTTTTCCAAACATAAATAGTAGATTTCCAACCGTTGCGCACGATAGAAGTGAAAAACGTGGGTCCGTGGTTTATTAAATTTTTCCAAGCGACTTATTTGTGGAAGAGAAGTAACTTGGGGAGGAAAGTGATCCTTAGGAAACGAAGCATCGATGGAGATAATAGGCGAAGGGTGGGCGACGACCATGGAGACGCCAATTGAAGAACCAAAGCACACACGCTCCGGGGAGATTAGCCCCAACGGGAAGGTCTCAGGCGAGAAGGAGAGGGAGGTGCGAAGCTCGAAAGCGGGGGATTTGCAAGGGAAAATCCGTCGAGCTACTAAAAGATGTGGCCACTGACGAGGAAAATCACTTGACAGAGGATTGCGAGACAACACAGGACATAGCTGCAGAAAATGGAGTCAAGAGGGGTAGAGAAAGGCCGCAGAAGATTACCGTGTTTCAAGGTAATAAGGAAAACATGGGGGACTATTTTCTGAGGAAAAGAGAAACTTGGACCGGTTGTGGATACCCGAGAGTAGCGCACTCTTTACCAAAAACGGTGAGAATTCTTAGTGCCCCAACAGTAGGAGAAGTGCAGAAACCAGCATTGGATGCAGGCGCCCAGGCCGAGGGGGCCCAGATCTTGGAGGAGTAGGAGGACAACCCGGCCCCACTGGCTACTCCGCCAAGATTTGGGGGGGGGGGGGGGCAAAACAAGAATACGAGGGAAGCAACACCCCAGAACTCCAGGGTCGAGGGAGATACCCCTGGGAAGAAAGCACAAAGTATCATAGCAAAAGTCAGGGGGTGGGGGGCGTTGTAGTACGTCATACAAGGGACACTGGCATGAGGGCTGAGGAAGAACTCACCCAGAGGTGTCAGTGCTACAGAGGAGAAGGCTACCAGGAGTTAAGAGGGACTGCCAGGAGACTGAAAATGAGGCTCGGGGGGATGGAGGATCTTTTCCAAACTTGCATGACCTCCGGAGCGCAGATCAGAAACAGCTGGCACACTAAGGTGGACGGACTGTCGGGCGACGTCAGGTCGGAGATCCTAAAACTAAGGGAGAACTCAGAGACCCAGCGGAAATGGGTGGCAGAGGGGCTCGAAGACGTAGTGAGACAAGTAGAACGGTCCCTGAGTAGTAATAGGGGGGAAAGGGACGACCAGCAGAACGGGAGCTCGTGGACGGTGGGACCACGGACGAACTGGGCTGAGATACTATGGACGCAGGAAGGGGGCTGGGGAGGACGAAGTTCACACGTAGCCTTTTCTCAACGTACAAGGGGTAATGGGAAGGGCAGGCCAATTGCAGGATGAAAATGCTAAGCCACACCAACGGAAGGGCAATCAACCAGAAGTGGTCGAGGAGATGCAGGATCCCCTGGAGAGGGTACGCTGGAGGCAAGGAATGCCAGATAAGATGCCAGGGGATGTGCTTGCCATGGAGAAAAGTGAGAAAAGAAAAAGGCTAAATGTAGTGGTGAGAGGTCTGAGAACGTCCCATGGGGTGGAGGCCCTAGACTTTATCTCTTGTGCGAGCACTTACATCAAATTTAATCTGTCGATTCTGGCAATGGGGAGACTGGCTGCTGGGAGGCTCAACTTCACCATAGGGAATCATCTCCAGACGGTGGTGCTGATGAGAAAGGTCTGTGGCGACTCCGAATTCGCCTGACACCAGGGCAGGGAGCGTTACGCCAGCGCCACGTATGCGCAACCAGAGTTTAGCGCCATGAGATACATAACGCTTCACGCATAGCGAACATTCCAAAACATTTAATTGTATTAATCTTGATAACTAGTCTTACGATTTTTGCAATAAATATATAGTTGTTGGCAGTTGAGATGATTCAAGCATCCTGGGAAAAATTGGTTAGATAGCTAAATAGGTGACCCCGATCTGATCCCCACGGTTTGAAATGCAAGTGAGTCTAACATAAATTCTCCCACGTGCAAAAAATGAGAGTTGAGGCCGATCAGTACGATAGCCCCTGAGCACCCATCATCCAACATCAACCCCGGGGAAGGCTTGCAGTGGACACTGGAGGCCCTGCAACAACAGGTACACCGCTCTCCACCACTGCCTGCACACGATTCCCAGATTGACGAAGCCAACGTCATGGCCATCAGCCACCTGACGATACCCCAGTGTTGGGCGAGCCAACCCGATGCATGGTTCATCCAGGTTGAAGCCCAGTTCAACTCACGAGGCATCCGAAGCGACACTACAAAATACGAAGCAGTTCTCACATCTCTAAGGCCTGAGATCCTGAAGAAGGTGTCCGACATCCTCAGGGCACGACCACCACAAGATAAGTATCTCTCACTAAAAAATACTCCGATCAAACGACTCACCGACTCTGTTGATCGCCAGCTAACCAAACTACTGACAGAGCTCGAGCTGGGAAATCGCAATCCAGCCAGCTGCTCAGGGAGATGAGAACCCTTGCTGGGGACAGAGCCTCTGAAGAGCTCATTCAGGAAGTCAGGCTCAAGATCTCGAACTCCAGGTCCACCTGATCACTATTTCTTCCACCAGAAGTTCGAGGACAAGCCCAGAAGATGTGTGCAGCTTAACAAATACCCTGCTGCATGCAGATCGGCCACGGAAAACTGAGACAGCTGTCATCAGCTCAGGCGGTGGGCGACAGCACTCCAGCCACCCCATCAATTAAGGAATACCACCTACACATCGATGACAAAACGACAAATCTACAATTCCTAGTCGACTCGGGCTCCGTGGTAGCTGTACTTCTACCAGCTGCTGTCAAGCTGAAATCACCTCCATCAGAATTCAAGCTCTACGCAGCAAATTCTACCAGCACAACACCTATGTGACGCAGCCAATCGCATTAAACCTTGCTCTCCGCCGAGCATTTACGTGGTCCTTTATCGTAGGTGATGTCCAATCAGCGATCATAGGGGCTAACCTCATCGCACACTTCGGACTCATCATTGACCTCAGAAAACGCTGTCTCATAGACCCTTTCACTTCTCTAACATCTACAGGGCTACTGGCCCCAACCTCAGAGTACGGGATCGCCCCAGTAGCCCTACAAAAAACACTCAACTCGATGCCTGAGAGCAAGTATACACAATTGCTCCTAAAATTCATCGACATCACAAAACCCAGCATAGTCTCCACCTCACAGAAACCCAACGGTGTGACACACCACATCCTCACAACAGGAACACCGGTCGTGGACAGAGTACGCACACTAGCTGGAGAGAAGCTGAAGGCAGCAAAAGATGACATCAACCTGCTCCTGGAGCTAGTCTTCAACATCCTACGTTAGCACAAACTATCTCTGAACCCATCGTAGTGCCAGTTCGGCCAAGAGGAAGTCACGTATCTGGGATACACATTGAACAAAGAGGGATACAAGTTACCAGCATAACGAGTGGAAGCCATTAGATCTTTCCCCAGGCCAGAGACCATTCCAGACCTCCGTCGATTCCTGGAAATCATCAACTACTATCGAAAAACAGTCCCCTACGCAGCTCAACTTTGTTATAGACCCGAGCGGTTGGGTTCGATGATAAGGATAGATCACTTGTAGATGATTAGAAATGAATATCTCTCAGGGAGATTCAACTTTTTAACGATTAAACGATTTATTCAATAAATATAGTCTTTGATTAATGCCGTAAATATCAGGCAATATGAATTACAAGAAAAGTGACTTAGCGAATAATCGGATTACTAATTGTCTTTGTCTGACAACCTGACTAACTGACCCAGTGGCAACGAACTCACGAGCTTATATTTCATCGTAGATTCGATTGCAACAAGTGTTCTATCTTTGTTTTACCTCTGGAGAGACATCGAGTGACGTCCCAGGTGTACGTAAAGGCCATAGCCGTTGATGGGACGAAGTGCTGACACTGCACCCCAGTGATCCACATTATGACGAATATATGTGGACTTAATCCACAAATATTCGGGTTAGTTTATATTACAACATTTACATTCTTTGATTCGATTTTACATGTTTTGGATAATATGTGCCACTTCGCGTGTCGTCATATTATCCAGGTCAATGAGAAAGTACCTAATACTATTTCTTAATTTAATGGTATTTCTGGGGTATAACAACTTGAAGCACCTCTCAACGAGTTTTTGAAAACCTTGAAACAAAGGTCTTCTTAATTTAATAGATAAACGACTCGATTTTAACCATTAATATAAATGTCCCTTGAAAATATAAGGGCAGAAGGCCTCCACCTGACGCGGCCTGGGTCATGGACTGTCAGGGGTCAGAATTCACTTTTTGACACGAAAACTTATTTATTGGGCGCCAGACAATTTTATCGTTAATTGCCAAACGTTAGATGCTCGACTCATTTCAAGGAGTGGAAGGTTGGAGCACCCAAAGTATTCAACAGAGAGAGAAAGAAGGAAAGTAGGCAAATATATAATGAAATTCGTTTACTCAATCAATATCGATAAATAAACGATTTATTATTATCAGCTTCCAAATAATATAAAAGATAAGATCTCGGATGTCGACTCTCCTCAGTTCTTCGCACAATTTATAATAAGAAATATATTATCAGACTCAGTAGACATAAAGACTCAGTACAAAATGACACAAAATCGATCTTAATCCACTAAAAGCCCAGGGCAGAGTCCCTTGCCAACCGCCTGTTGCGTGTGTCATAGCGCAGTGCCTGAAAACCACTGATCTCTATACAGGGTGTCCGAGATAAAATTGTGCACCCAAATAACTATTGAATGTGGGTAGTAATCGAAAAATCTTTCAAATAGAAGTTGTAGGGCTCCAAGTGGGAAAAATAATGAGATATGTTTTGAGCATTTAAGTCTTTATGTTTTTATGCTACAAG